TTATCCTTGGGGGACGTCCTTGCTTTCATGTGTCTCCAGTGTCGGACAATGGTTCTCGGATTCTTACGACGTGGTGGTTACTAACAACCTGTTAGCGGTGGAAGGAGCCTTGTGTTCCAACAGCTCCCGTTTAAAACACGAAACGTATGGTAGAGCTTGTCGACTCCACAGCGATTTCACAGCGTGTGATTCGCATTAGGAACAAGTCTTCTGAGAGCTGAAAAATCTACAGTTCTGGTTTCAGTCTGCATGTTTACATACATGTGCTGCATGTATATACATGCCGCGCCTCTGCAAGTCTCTCTGAGAGTCACCAGTATCAGGTGGGGAAGATGTTGAATGATGAAGTCCTGGGGAGCGTGCCAAGCGTATACTGCCACCTCCGGGCCTCTGCGTGCGATCGGACAACGTCCGGTCATGGGATAATTTGAAACTATCAGTAAATATCTGAAGTGTCAGTCAGACTGCATGAGAACTGCATGAACAGCGCAGGTTGCCCTACGATCAGTTTGGCCTTGGATCGTTGTTAATGGACTCCCTAAGGGAGTCTCCCTGGGATCAGTTCGCACTTGGAGGACAGTCTTCACTCGGATAACAGTTCGGGTTTCTGGTTTCCTTGGGATGAGTTCGCACTCGGATGACAGTCTTCACTCGGATAACAGTTCGGGTTTCTGGTTTCCTTGGGATCAGTTCGCCCTTGGATAACAGCCTTCACTTGGATGAGAGTTCGGGTTTCGGGTTGCCCTGTCGGGTTTCGGGTGGGGTTTCGGGTTTCCCGTTCTCCGTTTTCACCCGCAATCCTTTGGTTTTTTTAATGGACTTGCAAGCTAGTTTTACCTTCAGTCAAGGATTCACACCTGGTAATTATCTTGATGACCGTTCCCCTTGTGACTCGTGTTCTCGCTCTCTTTAAGATTCAATATCTTTCTTGTCTTCTTTGTGCGTGCCCGATCTTCATTTTCGCTCGCATAATGATCGATTTTGATTTTAGCTACTCTGTTGTTTTCAGTTCACTCTTAAGGCCTCTGTGACACAGAGTTCGTGTCACATA